GTTGAGCCCATAATGTAAAATAATTGTTAAATAAATATGGTTTTAGTTATGTGTTGCACAATCAGGATATAAGTTTTATAAATAAGTTCTTATTTGATTTTGAACAAAGGTATATATCAAGAGATCAATAGACATGGTTTGAATTAATATATTCGTTTCCCAAACGTATTGTTTAGCAATCTCTAAGGAAGGAATAAAGTTGCGAAGAATATTTGCAATGCAGTTTCGAATGTTACTTCATATAGAATAGCCCTTACTAAATTTAGGTGTTCAAATCACAGGACCGCCTCCGTGGTGTAGTGGTTCGCGGGTTCAATCCCCGACCGCGTCATACCAAAAGACGTTAAAATATGGTACTTGTTGGTCCCTGCCAGGCGCTTGGCATTAATGGGTACAACAAGGACAGGTCGGCTCGGAGTCAGTTTAATGTGTCTGAGTGGGGTATTCATGCTTCACTGCGGCATGGTATCTCAGTGGGCTAGCACTATAAAACCAGCTTAAGTCTTGGCTAGTACAAGCAGCCGCACCTACACATACACACGCATGCACGTCGTCATATGAGCGAAATGTTCTCAAGCACGACGTTAAACCCAATTTCACCTCACCTCACCTCACCTCAAATCACAGAGTAATGATAGAGGAAGATAGAAAACTTCATATTGCGAAAGATCAACGATTTTGTCATCTATGCATTGTTCCCTGTAGTGAAACAGAGTACCATTTCTGCTTATTATAATATGTCCTTTTTTGTCAGATTTGAGAAAAGTGTTACCTGCAAATTATATTGCAAATCCAACATATCCTACATTTTGTCAGCTATTATCATCCAAAACCCAGATGTTATTAATTGTCTAGCAAAATATGTATTTCTTACCATGAAAAAGTGAAATAATCAGTTGCAATTGTAAAGAAGAATATGCATGGCACCCTCTATGCATGGTGCATACACGTTGTACTACTTGCATAATGAACCGGTAGCCACCTTAGTGTAACAATCTCTCTCTCTCTCTCTCTCTCTCTCTCTCTCATTCTCTCTCTCTCTCTCTCTCTCTCTCTCTCTAGAGGTCTCTCTCTCTCTCTCTCTCTCTCAGTCCTTTTCTTTGTATTTCTTACCATGAAAAAAGTGAAATAATCAGTTGCAATTGTAAAGAAGAATATGCATGGCACCCTCTATGCATGGTGCATACACGTTGTACTACTTGCATAATGAACCGGTAGCCACCTTAGTGTAACAATCTCTCGCTCTCTCTCTCCTCTCTCTCTCTCTCTCTCTCTCTCTCTCATACTCTCTCTCTCTCTCTCTCTCTCTCTCTCTCTCTCTCTCTCTCTCTCTCTCTCTCTCTCTCTCTCCGATTGATCCACAAAGATTTCATTATTTAATATTTTATTAATAGATGAATAGGTTAATAGGTGTTATCTGAAATTGTTTACCTTCCACTCAATCGCTGCCACAAGTTTGAAGTCCAGAGAGCGCGAGAAATTGTCATAACAAGTACAACAAATGAGAATTAAGAGCACTGTTCAGAAAAAATTCATTACAAACGATAATTGGCGGATCGGGGATGGGTGGTGGGTGGGTGGGGGTTTGTGTGTGTGCGTTGTTCGAACGCCCCACCCCAATTTTAAAATGACTTTTGGGTTGGGGCTGTTGGGTTTTTTGCGTTGGCGGAGCCAAAGGGGGGGGGGGTGTTCGAACCCCCTTCCCCCGCCTTTCAAAATTCCTGGATCCGCCCATGGATGAAGCTACCTTGAAGCCTCACTATCACGATACACAGAAACAGGTAGAGGGGTCGTCTCAAAAGCAAACGATTTAATAGGATAGTTGATTTAAGCTTTTCTATGGGTATCATATTCTTTTACATATCTCAACATAAACGTTACGAAAGACACGTAAGATGATAATCAATAGATGAGACATATTCAATACACATGAAAAAAGCATAAAATATCTTTGAGATGACCCCTTGTGCCTGTAGCACATGCATTTCATGCCAGGTGAGTCGACGGTCCGTCGTCATACCTGGCTGAGCGACCTGATTACCATCTATAGTCTGATCTATTCTTTTCAGCAGCTATTCGTATTTTTGCCCGATTTTACGAGTAAACATGCATTCCGGATATCCTATTACGCATCCCACTGAACGCCCAGTTAGGCCGATGTGGGTTATTTCAACATATGCTACTTGCAGTTGTCTAAATTTTAGGGATACCGAGTAACAGCCTATTCTATTTCCGACAGTACTTAAACACGGTGTACTGGACGAACTTACATTGACTGTAAATGCGAACTTGATCAATAGTTGCATCAGAAGCATATGATGTGACATCAAAAGACTGGATTCGTCAGAGGGAAAAACATACATGACACTTCTATCAAAGTATGCCACAAAACACTCTTTAATCTTAAATGTTGTTATTGATTTTATAACAGATTCTGAACGTAAAGTGAAATCAGTTTTAAACCAGTTCTAAAGCTCTTGGCCTTTGAACTTGTTCACTCAAGCAATGAAGTGTATAGACAGTGCGCGTAGGATGGCCCGAAACAAATCTGTTGTGTTGATAAGAACATATTTCAAAGCAGCGAGTCTCCACAACATACACTGGAGAAATGGCCGTGTGCACGTGACATGTGCGATTTACTACCTAAGTATACTTGAATAGTTATTCGATGGCGATGAATAAAACCAGAGCTGTATTTTGGACCTTAAGTGAGTGAGTGAGCATTGTTTTACGCCACTGTTAGCAATATTCTAGCACCATCACGACGGCGGACCCAAGATGGGCTTCACACATTGTACCCATGGGGATTCGAACCCAGGTCTTATGCGTGACGAGCGATCGAATACACGAAAGAACTGACATCGTCTTTGTTTTCGTTACCACACAACGATTTACTACTATTGGTAGGGTTTCGGCGACCGTCAGTTTTGTTTGCATTGGTTGGTTTGTTGTTTAACGCCACACTCAGCAATATTCCAGCAATATGGCGACGGTCTGTAAATAATCGAGTCTGGACCAGACAATCCAGCGAGCAGCAACTGCATGAGCATCGATCTGCGCATTAGGGATACAATGATATGTGTCATCCAAGTCAGCGAGCCTGACCACTCGATCCCGTTAGTCGCCTCTTATGACAAGCATGAGGTGCTGATTACGTTTGAATTATTTGGTCAAGTTCTGTATTCAAGTACTTAATATCTTCTGTCCAGCAATTTACCTGACTACTTTGTTTTAATTTGAAAATGGTACAAAAATTCTTATTAAAGTATTAACGCCCCCTATTTTTAACTATAGTATTTACCCTTTATAACGCTACATAGTCACACTATAGCGAACTTTTAGTCAGGCACATATTTGAAAGTATGTTATGATATAATAAATCTTCTTTAAATCCAGTCAGACCATGTTATGTCGAAGTTGATATTGACCAACGCAAATAAATACATATATACTTGCACAACCGAAACGATGAAACACCAAACCTTTACTTCGAGACAACCGTCAATTCGACACATCAAAGTTCGAGACAACCGTATTTGACACTGTACATTCTATGTCCACAGTGGTATGCTATTCCGATCTATTCATCACTCTAAACACACGCAGATAAGTATTTCAATAAAGACGAAAGGAAACAGAAGTCTTCTTAATTGCCTTGGGGAAATATTTGTCAAGACAGGAAACCAATGCTTAAAGATAGCGACTCTCGCTTCAAGTGAACTGCTTGTATACTTAGCTCAAGCTGTATGTAAACCAGCTACGTGCGCTCGCATACGAGAGGGATATCGTATAATAGTGAGTGAGTTTGGTTTTACGCCGCTTGTAGCAATATTCCAGCAATATCACGGCGGGGGACACCAGAAATGGACTTCACATATTGTACCCATGTGGGGAATCGAACCGGGTTTTCGGCGTGACGAGCGAACGCTTTAACCACTAGCCCACTTCACGGCCGTTATCGTATTATAATAATAATAATAATTCAATTCTATAGCACCTTGTATCCATCTGACTAGCTCACTGGACGCTGTAATCACAAACTGATTATTATTACCCGGATAACCCAATCTGCCTGTGAGGCGCAAGGAGGTTAATAGTCACATGACTCATCTCACGGGTACCCATTTTCTGCTAGGTGAGCAGAGGCAATTTTGAACAAACTCACTTGCCTAAGGTGAGATTACATGTGCTTCGTTGTGGGACAGGACTGAAGTCCGAGAAACTCTCAGGTGTCAAGCTGCCAAACACGGTCACCCATCCAAGGACTCTAGATCTCCGCTCTCAACGTTGCTTAACTTCAACTGATTTGTGACCTGAGTTCTATGCACAGGATCACTGTTCACAGAGTGATTTGAGTGAGTGAGTTACGCCTCTTATAGTAATATTTTAGCACTATCATGACAGGGGATACCTGAAATGGGTTTCACACATTGTACCTTTTCGGCGTGACGAGCGGGCGCTTTAATTCACAGAATGAGAGAGTGAGTAGGATTTAACGCCGTTTTTTAATAATATACCCGCACTGTCACGGCGGGGGACACCAGAAATGGGTTTCACACATTTGCACCGACTCGTCGTGACGGGCGGACGCTTTAACCACAGGGGCGGTGGGGTAGCCTAGTGGTTAAAGCGGTCACGCCGAAGACCCGGCTTCGATTCCCCACACGGGTACAATGGGTGGAGCTCATTTCTGGTGTTCCCCGCCGTGATATTGCTGGAATATTGTTAATAGCGCTGTAAAACTAAACTCACTCACTCACTCACTTTAACCACAAGGCTACCCCACCGCCAATATTATCACTGAAACACCCCTTGCAACAGTCGAAAATTCAACCGCCACTGTCAGTATGTGGTATATTCAGTAAGGTTTTTCATAGCCGCCATAACACACTACAGACACAACAAATAATTAAATTGTAAGCTGTCTAAACTGATTTCAAAATAATCGCATTCGTCATTCCTTATACATATTATACATGAGCAAACGATCCAACCCTTACCTTAAATTCAGTGGCCATTTCAGCGAGGTACTGACTAGTCTCCGTCGCCTCTAGATTTACAACTGACCCCATCCATGCCCTATCTGGTCAATATATGTAGTCTAGCCCAGCAGCAGAGCTAGCCGAGTCCCTCCAATGAAAGGCCGCTGACGCGCACTCAGGAGAAACACCTTCCCTGCTGAAGTTGTTAAAAGTCGCCCGACGTCCTTCTACTCGAGGCTCATTGTGACGTGAGACATTTGATTATGCTGGAGCTCTGTTGGGATTCTTTGAAAAAGATTGATGTTGTTTTTCTTTCTTTTCAGTTTCCCCTTTTCCCTTATGATTTCGTCAGCAACAAAATTCAAATAAAACAAACTGATCGATATTTGAAATGTTGAGGGAGTAGTGCGGGTACATTTCGGCGTTCAGTCAAACTGATAGCATTTATATCATCATGTATTTAGGTCCATGCAGTGTTCATGATGGTGTGTGCATCAGATAGTTCATGCAACACTCAACTTCGTTATCATTCAATGCACTGACATGTCACATGTCACATAGATAGATAGATAGATCTTATTTTAATGATAGTTTCTTAAAGAACTTTTTTGGTGGAGTCCGGAAAATTTTCAAATATAAGAAAGCTGTTGGGTATTAGTAAATGATAAACATGTGTACTATTTATATTTATGTGGCAATTTTGTACAATGATAAAATTTGCAATTCATCGGTCCGTTTCTGACTCAAACGGACTGTAGATTGATAGATCTTGCAGCGCCTCTCCACAACGTACAATGGAGATACAGTTAAACCTCGTTCTGTCGAACTCGTCGAGACCACACTTATCCGAGTGTTCGACACATCCGTCAGCATAGAAATAATGATAAATATAAGGAATTCGGCAGGGACCGAGAGATAAGTTCGACACAACCGAGAATTTGTCTCAACCGAGTTCGAGACATTGGGGTTCCACTGTATTTCTGTTCGTGACACGTGCAATTTAACACCTTATTCAACTATTTCCTGAACATTCTGTCCAACTTCAGTAATATGTGACAATCAGTCATATAAACTAGTGCCCAAGAGAACCTATACACCGCAAAATAGAGTGAGTTTAGTTTTACGCCACACTCAGCAATATTCCAACTATATGGCGGCGGTCTGTAAATAATTTAGTCTGGAACAGACAATCCAGTGATCAACAGCATGAGCATCGATCTGCGCATTTGGGAACAAATGACATGTGTCAACCAAGTCAGCGAGCCTGACCACCCGATCCCGTTAGTGGCCTCTTACGACAAGCATAGTCACCTTTTGTGGCAAGCTGACTGACTGACTGAATTTGGTTTTGCGCCGCTTTTAGCAATATTCCAGCAACATCACGGCGGGGGACACCAGAAATGGGCTTCACAAATTGTACCCATGTGGGGATTCGAACCCGGGTCTTCGGCGTGACGAGTCAACGCTTTAACCACTGGCTACCCCACCGCCCCTTTGTGGCAATCATGGGTTGCTGAAGACCTATTTTACCCCGGATCTTCACGGGTCCCGCAAAACAGAAATGCACATAACAATTTTAACATGAAGTGATAAGACCATACTGAGCCATGTCACATGAATAACATCTATTATCACTCCTTTAACTTCCAGAGGCAAATTAACATGTGAGGAAGAAACGTGGCCCCAAGATTAAACTACCAGTGAAGCTCTGTGTTAGAACTGGTCTTCAGCAACCCATGCTTGTCGTAAGTGGCTACTGATTGAATCTGGTGGTCAGGCTCGCTGACTTGATTGACACATGTCATCGCATCCCAGTCGATGTTCATGCTATCGATCACTGGATTGTCTGACCCAGACTGCCGCCATATAACTGGAATATTGCTGATTACGGCTTTAAGCAACAACCAAACCAAAACCTTAGAATAAGTAATAAACTAATGGCTATAGCGAACTGATTTGCAATCACCGGGAGCCCCATTTAACACTAATTAACGGTGTGAATAACGAACTGAGCGAACTCAATCAGTGTCACTGCCAATTAGCGGTGCTCACTTTGAAATCAGTGTATAGCGAACTGATTTGCACTCCGCGGACGTTTACTGATGCCAGTATGGCGCTTCAAACATTGAAGAACTTTCTAGATTCGCAGAAGACAACTGATATGTCTTCATTTGATTCACTTGCCGATTTGAATGAGGCCAAGCGTGGACAAAGTAAGATCACTGACTTTGAACGAATGTAACTGTCGTGAATAGAGAACTACGGATATAACGAACTAATTTCAGTGGTCGCTTGGAGTTCGTTATAAAGGTATTTTACTGTAATATTTGCCCAAAGGCTTTCCTGGTTGCATTAAAAACAGCTGTTGTTGTTTTTGTTTGGTTGCTATTTTACTCGTTATAATCGTGTTGATATGAGTGAGTGAGTATGGTTTTACGCTTCTTTTAGCAATATTCCAGCAATATCACGGCGGGGGACACCAGAAATGGGCTTCACACATTGTACCCACTTGGGGAATCGAACCCGGACCTTCGGCGTGATGAGCGAACGCTTTAACCACTAGGCCACTCCAGCACCCATCGTGGTGATATGAAACAGGAATAAGTAGAGCGTTCATTATCTATCCCTGATGATGTTGGTGCTGATGCAGGTTAATAACGACAGTGAAATGGTCCTCACGTTGGATAAGTGATATGAATTGGGTTCTCAAGGGAGGTTAGCTCTTACTTTCATACGATGACCTGTGATTGACCGCCACATCAGTAGCAGACATAATTAGATCCAACTACCAACGGACAGAATACTATTTCCATGTACTGCTAACACGTTGTTGAATGTCATCCGATAACCAGAACTGCAATCAAAGCATTTGATCATGTGCTTAATATCAAAGTGAGTGTCTGTTGTTAGCCTTTCCAGTTCATCCCCACGTGTATAATCTGTGATTAGTTTTCCAATACATTGTCGAAAACATGGCTAACATGGCATCTAACGGTAAACCATTGAACGTACACATTAATGTTGACAAAGTAATGCTCATTGTGTTTCATCGTTACCTGTCATTGTGATCAAAAGCTAGTATACAGCATGTACCATCAGAGGGGCGGTGGGGTAGCTTAGTGGTTAAAGCGTTCGCTCGTCACGCCGAAGACCCGGGTTCGATTCCCCACATGGGTACAACATGTGAAGCCCATTTCTGGTGTCCCCGCTGTGATATTGCTGGAATATTGCTACAAGCGGCGTAAAACTAAACTCACTCACTCACATGTAGCAACAGCATCGAACATTTAACATGAGCTGATTGAATCACAAGCCTTGTCATGAATTAATGCTGCTGACACTCTTATTGTTGCTGCTGTTGTTGTCAATGTTGCTGTTGCTGATACCGTTAATGTTGCTGTTGTCGAATGTTGCTGCAATTTATGCTGCTGACACTGTTTATGTTGCTGACGCTTCTGATTATGTGTTAGTGTTGCCGATACAGTTCGTGTGTCAGATGCATCTGATACTGCTGATGTTGCTGATGTATTTCATGTTGCTGTTTCTGATCTATAAATTATGCAGTTGCTGTTACTGGGACTAATGCTGTTTCTGATACTATAAATGTTGTTGTTTCTGTTACTGGTAATGTTGCTGTTTCTGATACAGTAAATGTTTCTGTTACTGGTAATGTTGCTGTTTCTGATACAGTAACTGTTGCTGTTACTGGTAATGTTGCTGTTTCTGATACAGTAAATGTTGCTGTTACTGGTAATGTTGCTGTTTCTTATACAGTAAAGAAATGTTGCTGTTGCTGTTACCTGTGATGTTGCTGTTTCTGATTGCTGATGTTACTGGTAATGTTGCTGTTACTGGTTACTAATGTTGCTGTTTCTGATACTAGAAATGTTTCTGTTCTGTTACTGATAATGTTGCTGTTGCTGTTACTGATAATGTTGTTGTTGCTGTTACTGGTAATGTTACTGTTTCTGATACAGTATATGTTGCTGTTTCTGATACTGCTAATGTTACTGATTCTGAAAATGTTAACGTTATTGATACTGCTCTTTTCTTTACTTTGCTGGTACTGACAATGTTCTGATACAGCAAATGTTACTGATTCTGAAAATGTTGCTTTCTGTTATTGATACTGCTCTTTTTCTTTACTTTGCTGGTACTGACAATGTTGCTGTTTCTGATACAGCAAATGTATGTCATTGATACGGCTCTTGTTCTTTACTTTGCTGGTACTGATAATGTTGCTAAATTTTGTTATTACTTATTGAGTTGCTGACGTTGCTGAGCATACAGTTGTTGTTTCTGTTGCTGAACTGTTTGCAGGACCTATGACTGTTTGCTATTTTGCTTACAGAGCTTCCTTTACGTCACATTTCAGATTCAAAGGATTTGTTTGTTTGAACGCATTTGCATTCAGTATTGAAAGAGATTGGGCACAAGTTATTCGACTTATTAAAGCCCACTCCAGAGTATAACGTGGAAAAAGATACATGTAATGGACAATGAATAGAGGCAAAACATATTACACATTAATTGAATTTATGGACTTGACTAGAACTATTCATTTATAGTTTGTGGTAGACTAAGGCTGCCGTACAGAATGGTATTAATATCTAAGCTAACTTTTAGAATTTCAGAGCCTTGTATCAAACCAAACCGGCAGCTGACATACTTTGGATATTTTAGAAAGAAATGATTGACATCAACAACCGGAGCATCACAAAGGCAAGCTTTACTTTCAGATAAATTGACATAAAAGGTCAGCATTTAAAGAACTACTTGAATGTCTAAACTTAGTTTGTAGAATATGAATGTTCCTTTCACAAAATAGGAAATATTTAGGGATTTTTCTCTTTTTCAGATAATTCAAATTTAAATGATGATACTAAATAAATTCAAAGGATTTTGATCCTAGTTCGTGTTGTTCCCCATCAACGCATGTTATACATGTTAAGACACACATATTGATAAGAACTGAATGTGTGCTTCAATTTCTTTCCCATGGCACATGTCTGTGAAGACGTCGTAAAAAGATGGCATTGGTATTTTGGTTAATCAATTATTAATTCCTATTTCTTTTTTCACCAAATTGTCGCTCATGGCTTGAAAAAATATCGATTTGTGAAACGCAAATGGACGTTTTTACGACACAAGATAAAAAGACCATAAACGAT